AGGGGGGGGGGGGTGTCTTGTCTATTTTTTTTCTTACCTGGGGGATGGGGGATTGTTGTGTTTCACAATTTCTCTTGTCAGAAAAAAAGGTGTATCTCGCAGTTTTCAAGCATTGTTATTGGTCTTTATTTGCTGTCTCTTTTGATTTTGAAAAGCCGTTTGAAATTCTGAACCAAGTACACATTTTCTTATATTCTGTGGTTGCGTTGCGTTATTTCTTTCCCTTTGATAATAGGGGATCAGGGGTGTCAGCAATGGCTAATTGTTAAAATGTTTCTCTAAATGCTGCTCTTCTTGTAATCAAATTGTCTTCGTACCCTAAAATAGTTGGTATATTTTATTAGAAATGGTTGGGGGGGGGGGGGTATTGCTTCGTTTAGTTTTTTAGATTTTTTTTTTTTTGGTAATAAGGCCTGGTCTGACCCCATTCTATTTTTTTTTATGGTCCATGTACTTAATTTTTATTTTTTTTATTATATACTTTTTTGGGGGGAGGGGGGGTTGAGATGTCTTATATAGGCTAAAATGTCTTATATAGGCTAAAATACAATGGATTTGTTCACTCTTTTGCCTCACTTTTGTCTGTGTTGTTTCATATTGGCTTTGTAATGCCAGACGGCTTGTTTAAGGTACAGGTGTTGTATTGTTTCTGTTGCCTTTTTTAGGACCGCTGATTATCAAATGTGTTTTTTGCCGGTGCGTGTACTTTTTGTTAGTGCTATGGGGTTTGGTTTTTTGGTCTTTTGGAGACACATCGTCATTGCTTTGTATTGGAATCAGAGATAGTCGGTTTCTTCAGGCAGTTGTCATAGTTATTTATAGACTGGCGGTCGAAGTTTAAATTTTCTCGTCAGCAGTACATTACTTTTTTCTGTGTTATGATTGTGTTCTAAAAGTCATGAAGAAATGGAAAGAGTTCTGTTGTTGTTGTTGAAGTTTTGCGAGCAGCCAAAGCAAACATTTTAAAAGATTGGCATGAGTCAGCCACGGGTGGTATCGATCTGGAATAATCTAGGTCATCCTGATGATGTGCGTCTACTGATCTGATGCTATGCGCATTTTATGCCATTTGAAATGCACCATTGGCATCCGAGATGAATCACACAGTGCCGTGTGAATGCGCGTTATCGATCCGAATTCTCAAGGCCGAATTAGTGGGTGGGTGGGAGGGAGAGAGGTTGGCTAGGCGAGGATTTTTTGTTCCTTTTTTGTC